GAACACACAGTTAATTTTCTAATACAACTCAGGGGCACCACGTACCGCGAATGATTCGTGCTTCTATCAGGTCCTTTGCTTATCCTTGACTAAAAGTCACCACGCATCTCTAGCTTTAAGCTACACGGAATGCGGTGGAATGAATAGAGGTTAATCGACAAGTTGGTCAATCTACCTACAGATCGTCGGAGACAGTTCTGCTGGTATTTAGTTGCTCTCCTGTGATTAAGGCGTTGGGTATTTCGTCTTCCCTTTATTTCTCTTCCACGACACTCACGGTATAAAACACAGAGACGGCAGCAACGTCACGTTCACTTCGATACGGCGCGCCCACATCATCTCGGACTACCAAGAGGCTGCGATCTTGCAAGGTGCGATCGAGCCTTGATCCCTGTGATCTGGGAGAATCTCGGCGTGCATGCTGAGAATACGTCTGACTCAGTTTATTGTCTTGTGCAACATCGTTCGTCTCTCATGTGATACTTATACCGTGTTGAATCGATTGATCTTCTGTGTTTGGAATACTAAACAAGTCCAAATCCTTTGGCCTGGCTATATCTTGAATTTAAGCTGCTCTGGCTGATTATTAGATGGAAAGAATATCATTGTTAGCATCATCATCGCTTTGATCACCGTCTACTATCACTTGACCATCTCATGATATCGCCAACGCACACACGGCGTTACGACGGTCCTTCATTTATTCAATAAAATGTTTCCCTGTATCATAATATTCAAATTAAAGTAGTACTGTACAAATGAAACTCGAAAATCTGCGTTTCAAACTGCATGAGTAATTTACCGCTCGCTTCTACATTAGAAATATAGATCGCATCGTGTTCTTACAGGAGAGTTGAGTGGATTGCGGTTGAGGCATGTAGATGGGGCGACACTACTGTAGAGGTAGAGAGATCGAGAATCACGCGTGTTAGCTATTCGTACCAATGTCAAGTTCAGGAAGCAATTGTTCAGCTTGCAGCGGCAGTCCGATTCGCATGAGGGGGGGGGGGGGGATGAAAGGACCATGTGCAGGGGCTCAGGGGCTCTGAAGAGCACGCGCTGATCAGCGGTGTAAGCTTTGTACTACTACTCTCCTGTTTAAGTCAGCCGATACTATGATGAGAGCACAAAGGGCTATTTTCGGAATACAGATACTATCAAGGTACAAATGAAATTGCTCGAGGATCTCTGTGATGCAAACTGCAAGAGTGAGCGCTCGCCGAGGGCGCAGCATGTAGTGCCCTTCGTTCTTACTGGAGAGCTAAGAAAAGTGCGGTCGAGGATTGTAGACGGGGTGACGCTACTAATGGCTTACCAGTGAACCAAACACTTAAGCCGGTTATATCATCACTCTTGTCCATGATGGATTGGAACGATTCGATGGCTGCTCCAATTCTCCCTGCTCGAAAGAGTGCATGACAATGTTGCTGGTGCGCAGTTTGCCACAAGGACTTGAGGTCCCAGCCGAACAGCTGTAAAAAAACGCAGTTCGACATAAAAAAGGACATTCAGTGGCATCATATCAACATACCACAACAAATTCCTCATACATAGAATGAATTTCCAATGTATGAAATGAAGCGCTAGCGTTGACGGCAGCAGTGAAGTGGTCAAGAGCTTCGCTGTTGCGCGCACCATCCAAGGCAATGTTTCCTGTTTGGACGCGTAGATACGCCTCATGTGAGAAGGGCAAAAGTCAGTGCCAGAACACGAACACGGGCATGATCGTGACGCTCACTTCTACGATACGACAAGCAAGAACATCGGCATTGGGACACGCAGTCAGCTCTTCGATGCGCTGCATTGCCTCGTCATGTTCATGTGCATTGAACAGCGCAATGGTCTGAGAATCGCGATGAAGTATGAAGTATGTAAGAAAAATATCACCTGCCTTAACGAGGAAAAGAAATGATCGGTCTTTAATTCTCCGTTGGTGAACATGGACGCCAGGTCAAACGATGTCCTCGCGGCCCGGACCTCCTTCTTTCCACAGAGGGCAATGCCCTTAGAGAGATGGCCTATGAATGAGGGCTGAATGTTGAGGGACTATGTCACCATTGATGTTAGGTATCGTATGGGGCCATGATGAGTCAGTCTATCTCACCTGAATTGCATCGCGAAGCGCGTGGTTCCAGTCGCCTTTTCGTGCCATGACAAATGCGCGATTCGCATAGATGGTGTGATCGTCGGGAGCAGCGTGGATCTCTAGATTTAGGACCTTTTCAGCGGTAGCCAAGTCCCCAGCTATGCACGCATTGCGGGCTGCCGAGTGTATAGCGAGGACCTGGGTGAAGTATGTTCACATTGTATTATCAGAGTAAAAGGTAGAAACATACCTTGAAATTAGAATAGGCTTGAGCCCGGGCATAAAGAAGACGCTCAGACAATGAGGGGCCGAGAAAATGAAAACGAACATACCTGGTGAGTGACCCGCTCCTTCATAAGACCATCCTTTGGACCATCTTCTGGCGAAGCGTCCTCGGATGTCGGCCACTCTGAGACCATTTTATCTACACCTCCACTGAGGATGTGCCTGCCTTCTGCAGAGAAGGTGACGCAGTTCACCTGGCCAGAGTGCTTGAATACGGCGATCGTTCGTCGATCTGAGACCCGCCAGAGGCGGACACGATTGTCATGAGATGCGGAGGCAAGAAGAGTGCCGTTAGAATTCAAGGAAATGGCACGGATAGTGTTGAAATGGCCCTTCCAGGGATCGCCGACCTGCCTGCAGGGATTTCCGGCATAACGCCAGGTCGATGAATCCCACTCTCGTAGATCAGCCCCTCCGCCCGCTGAGAGCAGGCGTTTGCCATCGGGCGTCCACGCGAGTGAATAACTGTGTCCTTCACTGATGGTTGCCGCCGTGTGACCCTGGAAGTGATGAAAACTTGAGTAGTCGTGTGAATAGTTGCTGCATCTGTCGTAGCCGTGGTAAATTTGGATATTGTGTTCTGTCGCAATTGCAAGTGTAGGCCGTGACGGCGAATACCGAACGCAGTGGACGCTTGTACCACAGCTAATTGCTGCTCCCTGCAGCGTCCACGTTGATGTGTTCCACAGCTTCATCATTGAGTCTGATGACCCGCTGGCCAGCACTTTGCTGTCTGGAGAAAAGTCCAGCGATAATATCCAACCGGTGTGTGCACTGATAACTGGGTAAGTTTCACCATATCGGCTGAGACGTTCGCCAGTTCTTCCATCCCATGCAAAGAGTTCTCCGTCGATATCACCGCTTGCTATGAAACGCCCATCCCGCGATACCGCCAATGCCTGCACTCGATTGCAATGCCCCTCCATCTTCTTCAACACTACACCTTTTGTTAAATCCCACAGACGAAGCATCTTGTCATCCGAGGATGTGACCATACGTCGTTTATCAGGGAAAACTGCAACTGCGGATATGCGTGCTTCATGACCTTCAAAGACTCGAACGGGTATGGTGCTTGGAATGAGCTGCGCCATTTTCTGGGGGTTGATGGTATTGAGCACGGTCGAGGTGGACTTAGTGGGGAAATTAATCACAGTCGCAGAGGTGCGTGTGCTGGGGTGTTTCTCTTCTGCTTCATGATAGCATTTCCTTCCCACTAGACGCCCAAGACATGAGGCCGTTATCGCAAGCACCTTGCTTGACGATCTAGGATTCTAGGCGTCCGAGCTCATGCGTCCGGCTCGTGTCTCCGCAGCTTTCCAGACGAGTTGACGAGCCTGATCGCATGACTCAGTATCATTTCAGCTTTTTTAAACCACCATCGAATATGGAATGAATGGACCCAACCCTTCGACCATCCAGAAACCACCCAATACCAAGATCTTGGCGCGGGCAGGCATAATCTTTGATGGCCGTTATGCCAGCTCAAATTCGGCAGGTGCAACAGCAACCTTTCGACCCCAACCATGCCCCAGGGTAGGACGCTCCCAATTTATAGCCATACTGCTATGATTATGACATGAATAATTCTTGAATGCGTTACAGTGAGCCGAGTAAATTTATTCCAACCACTGTTATTGCAGGATTCCGCGCGGCAGATAGGAAGACAACAAGCACGGTTCACTTGATTTGCCATGCACTAATGCCTCGAATTTCAACTAAGTTGACGCCCATATACGTGGTATTTCATTGGGTGATATGCTGAATTTTTGTTCCCTGGAATATGCTTAGCGGAGATCCGACGGCTGTGAGGCTTCCTGCGTTCTACTCTGGAATCGGCACTTTAGGCAGCCCAATTTGCATTGATTATAATCGGTCATTTCAAATATTCGAACGGGAATTTATCCGAAGAGTCAGTCATGGGTTGATTACAATTGTTATTGAAATTCAAGCATTTTGAGTTTGATTTCTTAATCAGCCTCGATCATCGTTCCGACATAATTTTGACCTGTCAAGATGATTTAAGTTGGCACACATTCTCCAATGACCATCATCCAGAATTGCCTTTGAGGAGTGCAAGTCAATATCGCAAGTAGTAGAGTTTCTTGCCCTCGTGCACATCCTGGCACGTTTTGTCGATGTGTGCGGTCGAACTACCAGGCTTTATGAACCGTGGCAACTCGATGCTTGTTCCTATGAGGGACCCCACTGGACAAAAATCAACTTTTGAAAAATATTATCAAACTTTGCTCGCATGGTGAAAATATTTACTAGTGTGACAAAAACATTTGCCATTGTGACAAAAACATTTGCCAGTGTGACAAAAACATTCATTTGTGACAAAAACATTTGCCAGTGTGACGAAAAACATCTGCCATGTGGCCAAAAACTTTTCTAGGATGACAACTTTCTGCATTGCAGGATACACGGTGGAAGTACTGAGAGGGAGTGGCATGCAGGGGAGAGTAGTACTATGGTGACGATTCCCGCTGTGTAGTTACTAGCGAGTCATCAGCATCAGAGTTTCGGAATCAGACTGCAGCAATCAGGTTGCACTGTACCATAGACGTAGTAATGACAGTGTATGTATAAGGATAGTTGAAGCTTGAAGGTCAGAGGCACTAAGGTAAACTTAGGTAAAGCTGTCTTGACCAGCATCAAAAATGACACAATGAAGCATAAACTCCAATTCAGCAATATCGCTATCACTGAGAGGTGATTTACCCAGAATAGGCATCATCTTTCTGTTGAACCACACGTCCATACTGTAGTTGCACGCATGTATGCTTGGAGGCAACAGACCGTTGTCGCGCTGAAATTTGATGAGCAAAAGAAATTAGTACAGCCAGAGTAAGCTCAAACTCACATGATATTGACCGGCAAAGCAGACGGTCTCTGGGATTGTTTGATGGACATAAATCTAGGCAAATTGGTGAGATGCAATATTGACGAGAAGGAGAAACAGAAGATGCACAGTGAAATCTTGCCCTGGTGGAGGCAGCAAGGTAACTCCACTCAAAAGCTTCACAAAGCGGCAGGCACGATAGGCAGGGTCAGCATTATCAATGTCCCGTTGAGCCTCATTGACCAGATCAGCCATTTGAGGGTGCGGTGGATGTCCAATGCCACAGAAATAGTGCTCGAAAACAGACCGGAGCTGCACCACTAAAGGAGGAGCGGTTGCAGATTCAAACGTGGGATCACCACACACAACAAAGTCCAGATGGCTTATTACTTGCTCTCCATTAGTGATGCGCCGATGATAGCAATGCGATAAGAGCCACTTGGAGGACAATTTCAACATCTTGACGACGGTCAATTAACGAACTTGTATTCACATCAACACAGCTCTGCTCACCTCGATTACTGATTTGTGCGTTGTGCTCAGTTGAATGTCAATGCCAGCCTGAAAAGCCTTGAAAAGCTGGGAACTTGAAAGCGCCTCAGGTTTGATCCCTAATAATGTGCTAGTGTGCAGGGAAAGAACAACCGCTGGCCATTGCTCATCGCTGAGAAGTGCCAACCGGGATACCTAGATTGATATAACTAAGATCATGGCCAAGTCAACCAAAACACAAAGTACTCACTGATGAATCAATTGTACCCTGTATGAAGCGTTGAAGGCAAGTCCTTTGGGAGGCCGAAATGGTGGAAGAGGTCAGATCACATGGTGAGGAGGGAAGGAGACCAAGATCATCATAATGATCAGGAAATAATGCCCCGACCCAACACTTATCAGCAAGAGCTTCCACACCGGCGAAGGCAGTGATGAGTAAGGCAGGAGAGATGGGATCAGGTGCAATGTGCCCACATATCATCATCATAGTGCACACAGCTCCCAATGCAAAGGCACACTCAATGTCGCTAGGTGTGGGAAAGTCACGGATGTGCAGAACATGAAAGCCATGTTTATCGAGAATCTGGGTTATTCCATAGGATTCGCTCAAGCACAGCATGAGGGCCTCTGTTAATACCTGTCTCATGACGCCTTCACCAGAAGCATCATGGGCGCCATCATACCCACTTTAACAATATCAGCATTGAGAATTGACATTGGGCAGGTAAAACTCACACACGAAAGATCCAATGTTTTCCGAACATGTCAGACAGCTTCTGATTATGGGGCCGGATAGAAAATCGCTCATTGACATAGTAGGAGCGTGCATATGGTGTGTCGGAATTGCGCTGCTGTTGACATAAAAAATCTATCAAGCCCTCTGCACAGGCTTTGACAGTTGGACCACGGACATGGACCATGCTGTGCTCGACTTTGCTGTCAAAGGCCGTCATTATGGCATTATCGACCTCGAGTAAGGTCTCATAAGGAGGCGGAGTGGGTGACACATATACAGAGTGATGGTGAACAATGGGTGAATGTGGGGGTGAGTGCGAGGAATGATTGGGGGATGGCAGTGTCAGGTCGATGACAGTAGGGAAAGACGTCTGAGGGTTCACAAGGGCTGGCAGGGAATTAAGTGAAGGACTTGAGATAGACGAAAGCGAGGTAGCTGGAGAGGATATACTGGGAAGCACATTGGGCTGATTGTCAGGAGTACTGGGAATTGTCGGAGGTGCATACAAATCTTCATCGCTATCAATCGGACTAGGAACAGGAGCCCGAGCCGGTCAAGAGCGTCGGCTTGTGCCAGCTGTCAATGGGCAGAATGCCTTACACTCAACAGGAATAGTGTCGCCAGGTTCCAAGCCTTGATACTCTAACTCTTCCTCATCTGCATCAATGAGGATTTTGAATGCTCGATCAGCAAAACACATATGATGCTGGGTGCTGTGCTGCTGGATGGGTCCAATAAGAGGCCCATACTTAGGACCTAGATAAAGTCAGTAAGTGGAGGCGGAGTGAACAATGTTATACATACAGATAATAAGCAATCCTACATTGGGATTGGTGGGGTGCTGGATTCGATTGACACGTTTGGATAGTGCATGAAAGGTATAGTCTTGCCATGTTTCAGTGGTGTCAAAGGACAGATAGTGCCCTTTAGGCATCTGGTAGCCGATCTTAAGAAGGCGAAATGGAAGATGTTGAAACTGGATCCGAAACTCGCGGTTGGGCGCAGATGCATCAAGATCAAAAGAGCATTCAGGCTCTGGGGGAAATTGGATGTTGTGAGACGTTGAGATGGCAAGAACAGAATTTTACACTTGGTTCATTATGATTTCATTGCGTGAGGATGCAGTAAGAGTTATGCGGTGCACGAGGCCAAAATCTTGCAGGCCATTCAGGTCAGAGGCGAGTCGCTCCCCAACATGAATGCGGCGGGGAAAATGAAGGTAAGTATCCTCAAAGATGTCGTCAATACTGTCAGGAGCTGCAGGTGCAGCGTGAATCTGAGTATAAAAGTCAGCGTGCATAAACTACTGCTTTCCAGCAGACTTACATCATTAGGGAAAATGACAATATCAACCTGTTTCTCGGAGACCTGCTTCACTGGTTTGGAGACACTGTATGGCATGGTGGTTTTCCTATTAGAACGAACGCGACTGCGACCAGCTGTAGTCGACATTGGAATGCCTGTGTGAGGTACACCAAAACCGGGTGAAACTTGAGTGGCACTAAAGTGTGGATTATGAGAATATGGAGTAGCGATTGGGGCGTAGTGCGGAAGAGATGGCCAAGAACTTGCAGGTGGCGACAATGAAGATATAGCAGGCTGGGAAGATGACGAAGTAGCAGGCATGCAAGTAGTAAGCAGAGGTGCAGGGCAAGAAAATTGTGCCAGAGGTGACTCTGCAACAGGGGGAAGGTGAGGGGCTCTATTTGGCTGGGAAAATGCAGATGGAGGCTGATAAAATGCAGAAGTGCTATGAGAATTTGAAGTACTGGCAGATGGGGGTCTGGATGTGGTGGATAGAATAGCAGGAGGTGTAGAAGCTAGTGGGCTGTGTGCATTATAGCCCATTGCACAGCCAGCACATGGCTGACGGAAATCTGATATCTACCACCCAACCTCAGGATTGACGCGTTATGGCAAGAAAGTGGGAAACTCACTGGAGCATTGCGTACAGTTCGGTAACCTAGGCACATAACATTGTTGATTTGAAGACCTCCATGGGGAGGGAAATTATGAGCTGGTGGCAGATGCTGGGTAAGTCCATGACCACAATAGCAATCAGACTAGAAAATGCCAGTGAGTGGGCATCAACCTCGAAGGCATAGCTTACCTGTGAATCTGATGGTGTACAGGGTGTATAGACGGCGCAATCATCACCACACACACAACATCTGGCAGGGACAACAGAATTAGTAGACATTAGTGAAAGCTCAGAGCTGCAGGCAGGTGGGCGTGTGGAGGTGGGGGAAAAGAGACAAGAGATATTGTGTACCTGCCTGCCAGTTTCTAGTGCCAGTGAGTGATCAGAAGGGTTGGTACCACATTGGCGTCACCTTCTTAGTTCTTTACAGAGCTGTCAAGTTCTTTAATACACCATGTGATAATGCTTCAAGCGGCCAAGCCTTACCTTATGAGTGCCCATTTGGACCAAGGTTCCTCTGCCAGGAAGTGCACAGCCAAAGGCGTCAAGTACACTGGTAGGAGTGTCACGGTACAGGCGTGTTGGATAGACTGCCTTTTGCCTGGGGATTCATCAACCATCCATCAACTTCTTTGACATGCGATCATGATCGTTACCTAGATCTGATCGTTGCATCCTCTAAATGATTCACTGTATTCTTTCATCCACTCATCGAACCCATATGCTGGCCCAAGACATCGATCTGGACACGTCGACCTCATCAGGCTAGAGGCAATCAGAGTCGCTCGGAATAACGTTCTCTCAAGTGGACCCGTCGTTACCCTTCCCGTACGCAACTCTAGATCATGCAATGCCCTTGCATTCTGCAACGCAGACCCCAACTACCTAGCTGTTGGCCTCAATAAATTTCGTGGAGATTCTAGTCTCATCATCTGGGATATCCAATCCGCCACATCCCTACTAGAGGATGGGGCCGAACTTCGTCGGTAGGAACCTTGTTTACTGTTTCTGTACAGTGTAAAGTAGCAAACGATCTTCCGAAGTATTTTGTACAACATTACATAGTGAGATACATTTTTGTACAGAGGTGCGAGGCTGCAATCCTTGAGTTATTTAGTGATGAATTTTGAGCATATTGGTAGGAATATACGTAGTAGTACAGCAATACTTGTTACACGTTTGGAGATCCTTTGGGTAGTAGCCTGCACAATGTTCAACTGTGGAAGGTAATTAGTGTACGAACAATGATGATGCCAGTGAATAGACTGAACACATACCACAATTCTTCAAGGTGAAGACCTGGATCCTCTGATTGATCGTTTTCCTTTATTGGTTTGTTCTGTTGAAGGTCCTGCGTTGAGGCGGCGACATTTGAAGGGGCTGGTTGGCATGGCTGCCGGCAGTGAGAGTACAATGAGTTCTCATAAAATGGAATTAAAAACATCGTGTTTCGATTTGTTGATGCGATGATGGTAAAATGCCATGTGAACCTCCACAAGTCCACCTTTGAGTTTTGATTTGTATTGAAGGAGTGGGATCAAAACGTGGTTCTCATATGCATGTCATGGTGACTTTCAACGTGGAAACTGACCTAGACATCGCCAACGGTTCTCGAGGCGAAATAACGAAAATCGTTCTTGATGAACGTGAAACAGATTTCTTGCCAACAGCTGCAATTGTGGAACTGACATATCCACCAGCATATGTTCTTATTAAGCTGAACCGTATGAAAGCGGTTCAGCTTGAAGGTCTGGAGAAGAACATAATACTGTTAGTTCCAATGGAGCACACGTTTACCGTTATCCACGGAAATCACCTGAAATCCATAAGAAGACGGCAGCTGCCTCTCACACCAGCATACTTGTTCACGGACTATCGGTCACAAGGTCAGACCATCAATAACGCCATTATAGACATTGCGACACCACCTACCGCGGGGCTTACTCCATTCAATGTCTATGTCGCACTATCGCGAGCTCGTGGCCAAGACAGAGTTCGGTTGTTGAGAGATTTTGACGAGAACTTGCTGATGACACATCCGTCAGAACATTTGAGAATTGAAGATGAAAGGTTGGCAATGATGGATCAGGAGACAGAGCAATGGTGGAAAGAAAAGACGACACGTGAAGTAGTGTTAGAAGACATTGAGATGTTGTAGTACCAGTTGTGCGAGTTAAGGTGTATACTGTATGACAAGTGGGTGCTGCGAGTTTTGGTCCACATTTTGCGATGGTGGCACAGAAGGCAAAGAGACTACGATCATGGCATACGCAAAGGGTGCGAGATCTACCAGTGGATACCGACCTTCTCCAGCATCGGGATCATGAAAGGGCTCTGGTTGAAGCTGAACAAGGGGTTCTTGGCCAGGCGCCGAGGGATGAGGATGTGTAGGTTTCTGCAGACCCGAAGGGGATTGGGACCAATCACGCGAGGGGGGCGACAGATGCCGCACTTGCAGCTCATATGACTCGGCCTTGGCGGAGGGAGAATAAGCATGGCGTGAGTAATCTAGTTTAGGAACAGGAGGCTCAGGGCTCAGGGAGTGTGAGTTCGGCGATGCGAAAGGGGGTGCTTGGCTGTTTGTGTCTCCTGATGGATATTGATATAGCGAGGGTAGTATAGGTGAGGATGTGGGGATATTGGATGCTGAGTAGTAAGAAGGATTGGGCGAGACTTTATCCTCTGCCTCGTGGGGGTTGGGTAACTCGACTTGGGAGACTAGCTCTGCGCTGTTATAATCAGGACTCTTGCTACTGGCATCAGAACCTGCGAGTGATCTTGCAGCCGTCGGTTCATAAACTTGCTGTAGAGCTAATTCTGACACTGAACGAGCATGAGGTTCACGGAACATCGGTGCAGTCTCAAGGTCAACGACATGTTTGTTCTTCAAATCCTTGCGGTGTCGGATTCCCAGATGGTCTTTAAGATTGCCTCCGACCCACATCTCACGGACAATATCTTTATCTAAGGGCATATATGTCAATTTGAAAAACTTGATGAGGAACCAGGGCACTAAAAAAACGGCGGTTAGGATGAGTTTCCAACGAAGGCCATCTCAACTCACCCAGTGCCACCAAGATGGAGAACACGACCGTCGCCCAGAACGTGACATTGCTGAAGAAGAGGATCTCCACCTCGTCTATAAACCCATCCATAGAAGAGAAGAAGGTATTGACCGGAAGGACCGAGTAGATCACGATCCAAAGGAGCATGACAAGGGACAACCCGATGACGACGATCCAAGTGATGTAGGTCCAGCTAAATGAATCACCATTCAACATTGTCGAGTAGCATGAGAAAGCACTCACTAGTGGGTGTTCATCCCGACGTAGGTGTTCGCTGCAAAAATGGCAGCAATCGTGACGGTCGTTCCAAAGTCCGCCAACGAATCAATTCCTTTGCCGTTATATGATATGGCTAATCCAAGCTGCCAGACCAAGTAGGGGATGAAGAAGACGACTGCTGATTGGTAAAGACCATCGAGCATGTAGAACCAGAACTTTGTCCGTGTGTACTCCAAGCCTCTGATACCGCAAACATAGAGCTGAGGGAAAGCAAGGGCAGCTTTTGCATTGATATCCTGATCGAATGCTAAAACGACGAGTTGAGAAGGACCCAGTAGTAACTGACGAAGAGTGCTCACATCCGAGAACGATGACAGGCAGTGAAGTAAAGATGAGGTTGTAAAACAAAATAAAGCTGTAGTCATATAGATAGGTTGCGTCGAAGCTTAGAGTAAAGGGAGGTCCTCATTTGACTATTTGTTCGAGGTCTTCCACTGATTTGGAAAAGAACGCAGGGATGTCGACCTGGGGTACGGAAGGAAGCAGATTAATCTTCTGCGTAAGCAATGCTGCTGCTCACTTTATGCTTGAGTGAGCGTTGATCTCGAGAAGAAGCTCGGCGTTATCGGTGCGCCAAACCCGGATGGTACCGCAATCTCCGATCGTAGGAGGGGGAAGTGAGGAGATTGGGTCAGCAGGGGAAGAGTTTTGGGAGTCTGCTTTTCGATGTGAACGTGGTACTGGGCATAGCAGCCGTAGTGGTGGTGGGTGTGGTGATGTCGATTGTAATCTCGAACGAATTAGAGAACCTGTGTATACGATCAGGTTGAGAGTCTCCGAAGATGAATGAAAAAAAGACATACTGGAATAGTGAAAAAAAGGAGACAGGCGGAATAATGAAAACCAGAAAGAAAAAAATAACTTACTAGTGAATAGATGAAGGGTTCATCGGTACTAGTGCAGAGACCTCCCGCCGCGTCTAGCACCTCACCCAAACATCTAAAGAGCAAAATAATTGAACACGGCCTGTAAGACCTACCTGCACCAAATAACTACAAAGCATTATGTCATACTCAATTTTCAACATGTTCCACAGTGTGGGTGTGATCTGTGATCCAATCAATCTCGATTCTCTGTGATCATCGGAAACTTTCTGTGATGGGCTGTGGACCACGAGGTGCAGAAAGTCGCGCCCGACGATACAACAGATGGGGAAAGGTGCGGGACATGGACAAAATCAAGGAAGCTATTGAAAGGGATCTTCATAAGTTAATTTTACAAGATAAGTATGAATATTCAGCTAATGATATCTAGATATACACAAGATTAAGTCCTTCCCAGCAGATTTCATCACTTTGCGAGCCAGTGGAGAAGACGTTCGCGAGGTGGTGAGAACCAAATTCAGCACCACGTCTTTACCAGAGCAACTGCTCCAGCTCCCCACTTGAGGCAAATTACTCCTCCCTCTGGACCATCTCTCCCGCGACTCTGTTCCCCCCGAGATTCCCCCTTACCTTATCATGCGACTCGAGCATTTTTTGACGGATGACCAACAAGGTGGTCTTTTGGCCCGATGGGACCGCTTCATAGCCTCCGGTCCCAAGCATGGCCTGAAGCCTGACACCAATCGCTCTACCAGCGAGGCTTTGCACCTTGGCATCTGGGAGGTAACTGCCAAAAAACCTCGCCTGACTTTGGAATCCCGAGATCAATCTGATGAAGCTGTCGAAGCCATGGATGATCTTCTGTGCTTCATCAAGACTTACATTGCGCCCAAGATCGGGACTGCCTTTAAAGAACACGCCCCTGTTCAGTGGGATTGTATTTTAAAGTTTGTCCCTTGCTACTACATAGTGATTGCCTAGTACTGATCTTTCCTTGTCAATCTAGAGCCAATGATCGGGTGCTCAAGCTCCTTAAACGTGACCTCAAGTTGCGCCCCAGTCTTTTTATGGGTGGCCCATTTTTTGCTGTGGCAGCCAAAGAAGCTGGATCGGGGATCGTGCATCTTGATTGGAATGATGACAAAGTGATCTATGCATTTGTTTTTGCAGTTGGGGACTGGGAGGGGGGGGAGTTTTGTGCCCCCCAACTAGGCATCAAAATTCCCGTCCGCCCTGGGCAGGTACTGGCTGTACTTGCTCGTGTGCTTGCTCATTTCAGCACACCAGTTACAAGTGGTCGTAGAGTAGTTTTTACGTGCTTCACTGATCGTCTGTTGTTCTGTCATGGTTGCCCAGATGTTGTTCAATTTTCTTACTAGGTTTATCTACGTACAAAGGCCCAGCTACTCTCCATATTTACCCTCCCATTCATCTACCGTGACCATAATTTGCACGAGTCGACTCTGTAGGCCACGAATTTGCATGGTTTTGGCTTCAATGGAGTTCTCCAGTGCTTGCCGACCCTTCTCCGTGTTCGTCTCGCCATGGTCCATGCAGACCAAGGGTACATGTATGTCGCTTCATAAGATCATGCTATGAATATAAAGTAAGTCAACACATGTGGCCAAAGAAATCCGAAAGACCTTTAGAGCTCAGGCTTTGTAGTTCTGGCGGGACTGTTCAATGTCTACACGCCACGCATTTTGCGCATCATCAAATACATTTCAAGGTGAGTTCCTGAGTCAACAGCACATTTTCAGGATTCACTGACATGATGTCAACATTCGAAGCAATCAAGCTCATGCACAAGGACCAATGAGTTGTTCGTGCGCTGGACATTGGCCTCATTGTGGGCCATCTCCCACCAATCATTGCTGGTGATCACTTGTCGGCTTTTCCATGTAAGCTGCCCCTTTACGCAGGCGCTGGCCCAATCCATTGCTCGGGTTCTCTATCCTTGATGAGGCTCCCAACATAGCACCCAGTTCAACCGTCGAGGATTCCCAGGAGGCTCCTAGTCTTTTGTCCTTCATGGCGATCCCCGCGACATGTGATTAACCCAGGGTGCGCAATCAGCACTCAGCACCAATATATTCTATCGAAGCACCGTTGTAAGTAGATAGATATCAATATTTGAAGTAAAAAATTTGATTCATGAAATAAACTGTGAGCACAGTTGCATCGACTGCATCCAAAGTATCTTCCTCTCTGTCATGGTGGAGTCCGGGAGATTTTCAATATATTGATGTAAGGTAGCAAGATGCTGGGGGGACAGGGGACAATTTGGCTCCTCGACCTCGACCATGTTGAAATGATCAGGTCTGTGAGCAACAAAGGGATTGTGACCTAGGTGGTCAGGCTGGTTACCCTCTGTATGGTGTGCATGTATGCGCTGATCTTCATAAGCCTCCCAGTCAATACCATACTCGTCAACTTCATCGGCATTGAGATCTTCGTCAGGTGGCTGAAAGCTTGCAGCATCCAATCCACGTGCTCCACTTTGTAGAATGCTGAACCACCGAAGATCAGCTGGCGAACGACTCCGCTGTCCATCTGGTAAGGCCATCTTGTGCATGTTCCATGCATTGGCCCATTGTGTTGCCTCCTGGTTGATCAAAGGTAAGAAAAGATGATGTAGGAGCCAAATATGGGCTGTGTTGTCGGGATTGAGTCCACCAGTCACTTCGAGATCTTGGAAGAATGTCTTCCATTTGGACCCAATCATGCTGGTCCAGTCCACCCACAACCGCTCGATACGGATATTATGGACACTTCTGCAATGACACTGAACTAAGTTGAATCACAGCAAAATAAATTAAAATCCTACCTTCCCCAGATATATGACCCCCTGTCTTGACCTCGCTGTTCCTCCATATATCTAGCAACAAGCACATTCTCCCCTCCGTGATCACCACATACCCGAGATGGTAGACCATGACTTTGAATCAATGACATAAATAAGTCAAAGACAGTTGCAGCATGGTTGTTGTTGCTGGCTCAAATCCCAGTTATGAACCTAGCAAAACCATCTATAAATGCATGGATTACGATTTTGTAGTGGATCAGGCCTAGATAGTGATTAGAATAAGTATAGGCACAGGATAGTCACTCACCATGCTGGCCATCATGGTGTGCTAAGGAATTATATCCAGCTACATTGTACACCCTACGTGAGATATGGCGTACTCCAAATGCTGCCACTGGGGGTCCATTGACATGAGCATAAGAAGCTTGTACACGGCTGTGGGGGACATGTTGCCCAAGGTGCAGCAAGTGCCCATCAATCATCCGCCTACCGAAAGTTGGGAAGAGGTTGAGAATGTGCAAGACAGTGGAATCAAGCTCCTCATCCGAGAGTGTAGACTGTGAGCCTGTTGATGATTGGTACACCTGATGAGCTTGACCATCTTCATCGACATACGTGATATAAACAGGTTCCCCTGGTTGCACTAACTCCTGTTCAAGGGCCCTGCATCGGACAGTCTGAGCAGAAACACCGAATATCTCGCCAAGCTCTGTGGGCCCTCGGAGTTGATAAGACATGGCAAGCACCTCTGGGTCTATCATCATCCTCGGACGCCCTCGACCACCCCCATGCACAACATAAGTGTGAGCCATCAGCTCAACGTCAGGAACATCCGAGGACACTAATTTAGCTGCACCCAGATCAGTAATCATGTCTTAAATACTTTGCTCCATTATAACCCTATCCACTGATGGAATAATGGCATAGTGCTAGGATATTCGGTTACTTCCAAAGATCAGATTACTAGATTACGAACTTGTGTAATGCTTTGCTGCAACCGGAGGCAAATTTGTATCTGCTCCTGCAATCGTGCTTCATCTCCGAGTTGTGTTTGTAGGGCAACGCGGACTGCTTCTTTAAGATGTGAAAAGGCCATCACAATTGTTTGGAATGGAAGGGGTAGTTCAGCGCCAATGTTGGCCATTGATCATTCACAAGTAATGGTTGAAGGAGAGATGCGGGACAGTCTTCCATCTATGGTATGAGCTATTGATGAGGCCTAGGCTCTGCACGTCTCGGTATATCTATCGCCTATCTTTTTTGCCAGCCCTCTACTCCATCTATAGTTACCGAAGATTCAAGATTATTCGTGGAAACACGTTCCATTGAAAATATCATCGTCCTCACAAGCTGCCCCTGGGCTGTGCCGAAACCGATTCTCAAAACAAGTCCCAGACATCCCCTGTCCAGAGTCGCTGCAGTAACTTGTCCTTGATCTTACACCCGAATGGCAGCATTAGCGAAGGAATAAGTTAAGAGTGCCGAACGTACCTGTCGGGCTTGCTTGAAGCACTTTAGTTCCACTGAACAGAACTGCATTCTTGTGCGCGCTGTCAACATCGAGTTTATCTTTGCTGTCAAGAAGCTGGATAGATTCCTTGAGTAGTGGCGTGGATTCTCCTGATAACATGGCATTGTCGACGATACATGTTCCTTGCACAAGAAGAATGTCGGCAGGAACTACCGTTTCAGAAAAAATGGAGCCATCACATGGTTCACCAAAAAGGTCGGAGAAAGAAGGGATCGGAATGTTGTCAATATATACAGTCCACGTCCTCAATAGACCGCACCTTAGAATTGGCGTGTGAGGATAAGAGTTTATCACTACAAACCTAAGAGCACACCTTTTGTGTTGTTCTCCAAGCTCTCGCGCTAGAACTCCATCGAGTAACAAGGAAACTTAGAGCATGACCTGCGCGCCTAACGATACACAAGCTAGGGAAGTCCACTCCTCGCTTTTCAACCAGTCGTCGTACTTGATATAATAAGCATACACGAGAAGCAGATAGAGCAAGAGGAAAGGAATGGTGTACAAGTGCGTGTACCATGGAAGGGCAATGTGTAGACTGGCTTTAGCGATTTCATTAGACTGCACGGTGACATAGGCCCTGCATTTACTGCGTGTTAGCAACATTTTGAAAAATCAAAATTGGGACTTGCATATTCAGGCGACGCTGGCTATAAGCCAGATACCCAGATAGCTGCGAGTAGGAACATCAAAGTTGTCTTCAACGCGAAAGCTTTCGGCCACGTGACCAAAGTTTTTGTCACACAACAAATTTTTTTGCCACGCGAGCAAAGTTTTCGTCACAAAACAAATGTTTTTGCCATGCGAGCAATGTTTTTGTCACAGAACCAAATGTTTTGTGCCACACGAGCAATGTTTCATGAAAAATTTGATTTTAATTTAATTGTCCAGTCGCTCCCTCCATATGTTCCGGCGTTGGGTATATCGTCGTCTCTTCATTCCTCCTCCATGACACTCACAGTAACGGCAGAAACGTCCTGGCTCAGTACACTCAGACCCTGTGCGCCCAAATCATCTCGGACTATCAAGAGACCGTCTGGGAGCAGAATCTCGGTATGCTCACTCAGAACACGTCTGACTCAGTTTCTTGTCTTCTATAACATTGTTCGTCTTTCACACCATACTTACACCGTGCTAAATCGATTGATCACCTATGTCTTTCGAATGTCCAAATCCTTTAACTTGGCAATATACTCCTGAATTTCCTCTGCTACGGCTGATTATTACATATCACTTGACCATCTCGTCACATCGCAACACATACTCGGAGTTGCGATGTCCCTCCATTTGTTCCTTCCCCGTATGATAATGTCAAAGTTCAAATGAAACTGGAGGACCTGCGTCTCAAACTGCATGAGTAATATACCGCTCGCTGCGAGCGCAGCTTCTCAATCACCGGTGGGTGTAAACGTACTGTTCTGTTTACAGCTCTTTGCATAAAGGATGGCAGTGGCGTGAAATTTTCGTTCAATTAGGAAATATTGGACTTGGTGAAATTTTACTCGTGTAGCCTTGTACTACCTGTATTATCATCTTCGCAACATGGGATTTCGCAAGATCAGTCGTGACGTGAAACTTGCAGCAATCCGACTCCATGAACGGAACCTTCTGAGCCTTTGCGACATCCTAGATTCCTGCGGATTTTCCGAACGCACTTGGTTTCGGATTTTGAGGCTCTGGCGCCAAACCGGCGATGTCGTGAACCGTCAGCCTAGCACAGTAATGCGTGGTCGTCTGCGTGCTCTCGATCGTGAAGATATTGATTGCCTGCTTTGTCTTGTGAGGCAGAATCCTGACTATATTTTGGACGAGCTCATGCACCTCCTCGCAACAAACTAATTCATATCTGTCCATTTCACGACAATCTTCCGCAAGCTCAAACGTGCTGATGTGAGCTACAAGAAACTCAAGGTGGTGTAAGGATCTTTGTGGGCTGGGACTGCTCAGGCTTGTTATCTTCACCGTCAGAGTCAGAGTCAGGTTCCTCTTCATCCGAAAGTTCTTTGATTCGAGTATCGTCCTCATCGGAGCCATTGGAATCAAGGTCACTGTCATGCTCTAGCAGGCTCTTGTGTTTTTTAGAGGCAGGAATAGTTATAAATGGCATGATGATAATGAATTACAAGGAATATGAGTGTATGACGAGCAAAATTTCACTAAGTCCAACATTTCCTGATTGAACGAAAAATTTACGCCACTGCCATCCTTTATGCAAAGAGCTGTAAGTCACCCGCTACTATGATGCGAGTACAAAGGGAAGTTTGTATAATACAGAATCCAGATACTGTTAAGGTACACATGAAAACTGTTCAAAGATCTCTGGTGATTCGAACAGGATGAGTAAGGGCTCGCAGCGAGCGCAGCAACTAGTGCACGACATTCTTACTGAAGAGCTAAGTGAAGTGCGGTTGAGAATTATAGATGGGTAACATTACTGATAGCTTACCATTAAACCAAACACTTAAGCTGGTTTTCATATTATCATCACTCTTGTCCATGATGGATTGGTACGATTCGATGGCTGCTCCAATTCTACCTGCCCGAAAGAGTGCATGCCAGTGTTGCTGGTTCGCGATCTGCCACAAGGACTTTAGATCCCAGCCGAACAGCTGCAACAAACCGGTTTAGCATAAAAAGGATATTAGCTAAGTATATCATATCGACGCACCACGACAAATTCCTCATACATGGAATGGATTTCCAATTTATAAAAGAAAGCACTAGCGTTGACGGCAGCGGCGAAGTGGTCAACAGCTTCGTTATTGCGTGCACTATCCAAAGCAATGTTTCCCAGTTGGACGCGTAGATATGCCTTATGTGCGAAGGGCAGAAAATATCAGTGCCTACACGAACCTGGGCGTGATCGAGTGCATGATGCTCACTTCCACGATGCGACAAGCGATAGGATCGGCATTGGGAGACAGAGCTAGCTCTTCGACGCGTTGCATTGCTTCTTCATGTTCATTTGCATTGAACAGCGCAATGGTCTGAAAATCGTGATGAAGTATGGAGTATGTAAGGAAAATGTTGCTTACCTTGATGAGAAAAAGAAATTGATTGATCTTGAAATCCCCGTTGGTGAACATGGAGGCGAGGTCAAATGATGTCCTCGCGACCCGGATCTGCTTTTTTCCGCAGAGGGCAATGCCCTTCGAAATATGGCCTGAAAATGAGGGCTGAATGCCGAGAGACTATGTCACCATTGAAGTTAACTTGAATAAGGGGCACATGATAAGTCAGTCTATCTCACCTTCATTGCGTCATGAAGCGCGTGGTTCCAGTCGCCTTTTCGCGCCATAACAAGTGCGCGATTGGCATAGAAGGTGTGATCACCGGAGGCAGTGTTGATCTCTAGACTTAGGACATTTTCAGCGGCAGGCAAGTCCCCAGCTATGAACGCATTGCGGGCTGCCGAGTGTGTAACCAAGACCTGCGTGAAGCACGTTCGAGTTGCATTATTAAAGTCAAAGATGATAACATACCTTAGAATTAGAGTAGGCTTGAGCCTTGACACAAAAAATACGCTGAGATGACGGAGGGGCGCGAAAATAAAAATGAACTTACCTGGTGTGTCACCTGCACCTTCATGAGACCATCCTGTGGACAATCTTCTGGCAAAGCGTGCTCGGATGTTGGCCACTCCGAGATCTTCTTATCCACACCTCCACTGAGGATGTGCTTGTCATCTGCGGAGAAGGTGACGCAGTTCACCTCGCCAGAGTGCTTAAATACGGCAATGGTTCGTCGATCTGAGAGCCGCCAGAGGCGGACACGGTTGTCATGAGATGCGGAGGCGAGGAGAGTGCCGTTAGAGTTCAGGGAAATGTAGTTGATAGTGTTGAAATGGCCCTTCAAGGGATCACCGACCTGCTTCCAGGTCGACACCCGGGCCGATGATGAATCCTGGACCCACTCTCGTATGGTGGGATCTTGATCATCTCCACCTGTGAGTAGGTGTCCATCGGGCGTCCACGTGAGTGAGTAGTTGTGTCCTTCACTGATCGTTACCGTGTGAGAAGCCTGGAAGTAAGGATTGCTGTATGCACGGTTGATGTAGTAGTCCCATCTGTCGTAGCCAGCGTGGTAAATTTGGATATTGTGCTCTGTAACAATTGCAAGTATGGGTCGTGACGGTGAATACCGAACGCAGCGGATGCTTGTACCACAGCTAATTGCATTTCCTTCTAGCTTCCACGTTGATGTGTTCCACAACGTCGTTGTTGAGTCTGATGACCCGCTGGCCAGCACTTTGCCGTCTGGAGAGAAGTCCAGCGATAATATCCAACCGGTGTGGGTACTGGTAGGTTGGCAAGTTTTACGATATCGGTTAAGGTAACGTTCGCCAGTTGTCCCATCCCATGCAATGAGTTCTCCATTGGTATCACCGCTTGCTATCAACCCCCCATCCCGCGATACTGCCAATGCCTGCACCCGATTGCAATGCCCCTCCATCTTCTTCAACACTACACCCGTCGTCAGGTCCCATAACCGAAGTATCTTGTCGTCCGAGGATGTGACCATACGTCGTTTATCAGGGAAAACTCTAACTGCGAATACGCGTGCTTCATGTTCTTCAAACACTCGGACGGGTATGGCGCTTGGAATGAGCTGCGCCATTTTCAGGAGGTTGACAGTATTGGGCACGGTCAAGGTGGATTTGGTAGGAAGATTAGTCTAGGTTGCAGAGGTGCGTGTACTGGGTCATTTTTATGCTGCTTCGTATCGTTAACTTCTCATTAGAAGCCCACGACACGAGGCTGTTATCTTGCTTGACGAAGGAAAAGCGCTCTTGACCCGCATATTCTATCGCAGGCATGAAGAAGCGTCAAATGAATGATACGAAAGGAAACATACCCGAATTAATTTGAAAGGATATAATTTCGGTGAGGTTTTTTGGGTTAAGAAAGCATTCCGTGATGAAATCTGCGGGAGAAATGACTTGATATCTACTGCATACGGTAGCGGAGGATGGGATAAATAATGATTGAGACACGGAACACTGACCTGACCTCGCAGAGATGTCTTGTGCCTGAAGCACCAATGACGACGAGCTTGACTGTAAGCATCGCTGTGCGTTTTCTGCTCGTCGCTGGTACTCTCGTCGACCAATCATTTAGTTCGCCTGATCTTTATCTCCCACACGAAGCTGGCGTTCCCAGCGTATCATACGAACCACCAAACCAGTCAAAATCCTCTCGCAATCCCCTGCTGTGGCTGATTATCATTCTTTAGAAGGAACAAATATTGTCAGCCTTATGATGCACGGGTCGCCGGTATCTCCATCTCAGGTGACAAGCTCTTTGTTCTGATCACCACTTGCCATGACTTGACCATCTCGTCACCAATGGCATACACGGCGTTGCAATGTTTTTTTCAATATAATGTGTTCCCTGTAATACACATACTGCCAAGGTACGAATGAAACTCGAAGATCTGTGTTTCTTGCATGAGTCACTGCTCGCTGCGAGAGTAACCCTTCATCGGAAGCATAGAGCGCGCTCCGTTCTTACTGGAGAGCTAAATGAAGTGCGGTTGAGGAGTGCAAACGGGGCGACACTACTGATAGCTTACCACCGAACCAAACACTCAAGCTGGTCTTCATAATATCATCACTCTTGTCCATGGTGGATTGGAAGGATTCAATGGCTGCTCCAATTCTGCCTGCCCGAAAGAGTGCATGGCAGTGTTGCTGACGCGCGGTTTGCCACAAGAGCTTTAGGTCCCAACCGAACAGCTGCAAAAAACGCAGTTCAGTATGAAAAGAATATTCAGTTACAACATAACAACATACTACGACAAATTCCTCATACATAGAATGAATGTCCAATTCATAAAAGAAATCGCTAGCGTTGACGGCGGCGGCGAAGTGGTCAACAGGTTCGTTGTTGCGCAAGCCATCGAGGGCAATGTTTCCCAGTTGGACACGTAGATATGCCTAGGACAAAAATATCAGTGCCAGCACACGAACCTCGGGGACGCACAGTTAACTCCTCGACGCGCTGCATCGCCTCTTCATGTTCATTTGCATTGAACAGTGCGATGGTCTGAAAACAGCAATGAAGTATGGAGTATGTGAGAAAAATATTACCTACCTTGATGAAAAAAAGAAATTGATTAGTTTTTAAATCTCCGTTCGTAAACATGGACGCTAGGTCAAATGAGGTTCTCGCGACCCGGACCTGCTTTTTTCCACAGAGGGCAATTCCCTTGGAGATATGGCCTGTAAATGAGGGCTGAATGCTGAGGGACTATGTCACCGTTGAAGTTAGCTTTCGTAAGGGGGCCACGATGGGTCAGTCTATCTTACCTTCATTGCATCGCGAAGCGCGTGGTTCCAGTCGCATTTTCGCGCCATCACAAATGCACGATTAGCATAGGAGGTGTGACCACCGATCTCTAGACTTAGGATCTTTTCAGCAGTAGGCAAGTCCCCTGTTATGCACGCATTGCGGGCTGCCGAGCTGATAGCAAGGATCTGCGTGAATCCTGTTCATATTGAGTTATCAGAGTCAAAGGAGGGAACATGCCTTGAAATCGGAGTAGATTTGACCCTTGGCATAGTCAGACGACGAAGGAGCGGGAAAATGAAAACCAACTTACCTGGTGTGTCATCTGCTCCTTCATGAGACCACCCTTTGCACAATCCTCCCGCAAAGTGTCCTCGGATGTTGGCCACTCTGAGATTTTCTTATCCAAACCTCCGCTGAGGATGAGTTTGTCATCTGCGGAGAAAGTAACGCAGTTCACCTCGCCAGAGTGCTTGAATACGGCGATCGTTCGTCGATCTGAGAGGCGCCAGAGGCGGACACGGTTGTCGTGAGATGCGGAGGCGAGGAGAGTGCCGTTAGAGTTCAGGGAAATGGCGCGGATAGTGTTGAAATGGCCCTTCAAGGGATCACCGACCTGCTTCCAGGTTGACACCGATGATGAATCTTGGACCCACTCTCGCATGGTGGGATCTTGATCATCTCCACCTGTGAGTAGGCGTCCATCTGGCGTCCACGCGAGTGAATAGTTGTGTCCTTCACTAATCGTTGCCTTGTGCTGAGCTTGGAAGGAATCGTAGTCATTGTCGTATGAGTTGTATGAATGGTTGTTGTATGAATGGTTGTTACAGTATGAATAGCTGTTCCAAGTGTAGTAGCCAGCGTGGTAAATTTGAATGTTGTGCTCTGTTGCAATTACAAGAATTGGTGGGGACGATGACGGCGAATACCGAACGCAGCGGACGCTTGTACCACAGCTAATTGTATCTCCTTCCCGCTTCCATGTTGATGTGTTCCATAGAGTGGTCGTCGAGTCTGATGACCCACAGGCCAGCACTCTGCCGTCTGAAGAAAAGTCCAGCGATAGTATCCAACCAGTGTGGGCACTGATAACTGGGCACATTTCACTGTACCGGCTGAAACGTTCACCAGTTTTCCCATCCCATGCAATGAGTTTTCCATCGGTATCACCGCTTGCTATCAACCCCCCATTCCGCGATACTGCCAATGCTTGCACCCGATTGTAATGCCCCTCCATCTTCTTCAACACTACGCCTGTCCTCAAGTCCCATAATCGAAGCATCTTGTCGTCCGAGGATGTGACACGTCGTCTATCAGAGAAAATTGCGACTGCGGATACGCGTGCTTCATGTTCTTCAAACACTCGGACGGGTATGGTTCTTGGAATGAGCTGCGCCATCTTCAGGAAGTTGGTGGTATTGAGTACGGTGGACTTGGTGCGGGGTGATTAGTCCAAGTTGTAGAGGTGCGTGTATTGGATCTACTTCATATGTAGCATTAACTTCGCAGTAGAAGTGAGGCCGTTATCATACATATCTTGCTTAACGATCTGGGCGGCCGAGCTCATGCATCCCGGTCGTGTCGCCGCAGCGTTCCAGATGAGTCGACGAGCCTGATCGCATGACC